TGAGTTGAGAGTAAGGGTTTTGCCAAGTTGTGTGGCATGATGTGTTCAGTTGATGTGTGGTGATGAATAAAGTCGGAGTGGAAAGTTAGAGCTCCTGTGTCGTTTGTACCATAGCTCCACATTGGTGACCCTAGATTTGGACATGTTGCAGGCCATGGATGATGCTGGCCTCGCCCTGGATGCACCAGTGACCGCTGGCCCTCTGCCTCCTGCCGTAGCGCTCAAGTTGCCGGACTTTTGGCTCCACGATCCCCCATCATGGTTCGTTCACGTGGAGGCTCAGTTTGCTCTTTGCGGCATCTCAGATGACGACACAAAGTTTCATCATGTGGTGGCCTCGCTTGACCTGTTAGCCACCCACCGTGCAATGACCCTCCTCCGGGACCCACCTGCACACAGGAAATATGTCGCCCTTAAGGACCTGCTGCTTCGGCGATACACCTTCTCTGATGCCGAGGGAGCTCTCGGGCCTGTATGGGGTGATGGCTCTGGAACTCATGGAGAGCATGTTGTCCTTGCTCGTCTCAGATGATGGGGGATTGCTCTTCATCCATCTCTTCCTCTGACAGTTGCCTGTGGCCGTGGGGGCCAGCCTCATCAACTCCCTGTTTCTGGCAGTGAGGGATTACCGCTCCCTGCTACGGACCTGCCGACAGCACCTCCACCTGCCTCCCCCGGAGCGGCAGATCTGGCGCTGACAGTGGGAATCACTACACGACGGCACCGCTGGAAAGGCCTTTGCCCCACATGTTGCTTTCTCCCGTGTATGTCAGTGTCGAGTACGCTGCCATGGCCGCTGAGCAGAGCACCGACCCGGACGCCCTTGCCCTTTGGTCCGCGCAGACAGGCCTTGTGCTGGAGGGCACGTCGGTGTGGGATGGCAGTCCGCGTTTGTTGTGCGACGTTTCTACCGGTCACCCACGCCCTATCATTCCACGTTTGTGGCACCATCGTGTTTTCGACTCCATCCATGCCCTCTCTCATCCGGGTGTACGGGGTTCAGTCAAGCTGGTCAACGCCAGGTTCATTTGGCCAGGCCTGCGGAAATCTGTGATGAGCTGGGCTGTGGCATGCGTTCCATGCCAACACTCGACGATCCATAGACACACTTAGCCACCCCTCGAACCTTTCCACGTCCCTGGTAGGCATTTCGACCATGTGCATGTCGATTTGGTCGGCCCTCTTCTGCAGTCACAGGGTTTCACGCACCTTGACTGTGGTGGATCGCACGACCAGGTGGCCGGAGGCGGTTCCCCTGGTATCCACGACGGCGGAGGTGGTGGCCAGGGCATTTGTGTCACGTGGGTTTCGTATTTTGCCCCCCCCCCGCTGACATTACCTTGGACAGGGGCCACCAGTTCATTTTGGAGCTTTGGTCTGCCATGGCTGACGGCCTGGGGGTCAAGGTCCACCGCACTATACTATACCACCCACCTGCTAACAGAATGTGCGAGCGGTTTCACCGGTCACTCAAGGCCGTGCTCCAATCTTCCTTAACGGGCGACAACTCAGTCGACTGTCTTTCCTGGGTTTTGTTTGGGGTTGCACTGCGCGGTTAAGGAGGACCTCTGAGTTTCTCCGGCCGAACTCGTTCTTGGGCAGCCCCTCCGAGTTCCTGGAGAATTTTTGCCTGAGAGCCCCCCTCTGTGTTTCGATACCTCTGTGCCGTCTCTCCGTTCCTCAGGAGGCTCCTTTTCTGTTCCTGGCCCAGTGCACCACTGCCTGGCCGATGTTTTTGTTCCGAGGTCGTTGGACTCTTCTTGGTTTGCAGGCACGATGCCCATCAACCTCCCTTGATGGCCCATATAGAGTTCTTAAACCAGGCCACAAGCATTTCATTTTGGACTTCGGGGGTCGGCAGGAGGTGGTTTCAATGGACCAGCTTAAACCTGCGCACGATCTACCGATCTACCCACCGCGGCCCACCTGCAGCTGGACTGTTGGATTCTGCCTTTTTCTCTGAGGATTTATGTGTTTATCTAACATAAACACATAAATCCTGAACCTCAGTGGGTTAAATATGAACGACCGATCTTTCACTGCGCTGTTCACTATTTAGAGAGGTCTGGAAATGTCAGTGCAGATTTGATCACTTTTGCAGCAAATGACATAGAGGTTGTGTTATTTCTTTCCAGCCTTCAGGCTACTCTGCAAACACATTCACTGTAAGAGGTGGTACTGCTCTTTCATATTTCCTCAAATTTTAATTTACGGTATCTTTGGAGTCAAACCCATTCAAGAAAACAGATAAGACAACAATTTGGTAAAAGGAATAATGAATAGTAACAGAGACTGAGAGGTCATGCCATTTTTTTTAATTACAGAAACCATCTCTGCTGAGTACATTGATTACTCTAGCCCATTCCAAATAGGCCTTAACATTAAAAGCTTAAAATTCCTTTTCCTGAAGGGAAGTTAACTTGAACATGGCGCATAAACATTCATCTCACAATACAGCAGCTATTTACCCAGCAAACCTAGCTAACTAGCTGCCCAAAGTAAGAAGCTAGCCTCTCAGAACATGTTACACTATACAAATTACAATCTCTTTTCCTTTTTGAATACAATGTAGTAACAATGAAGATGATTGTCTTTATCCTACAATGAATGAAAAACATTGTCTGCCCATTTGAAGAAAGCTTGAAGAAAAACCATTTAGCATTCTCCTAGCATTAGCCTTTTTTAATCTTTACATGCTATGCTCATATATCATGTATGCAGTCATCAAATATACGTTTTGCAGATTCTAGTGAACTAGAACAACAAAAAAGGTCATTTAACTGAGTTTTAAACTCAAGACTTGACAAATTAGCTAACAAAGATATTAGCCGGTTTATCTAGCTAAAGTTAAGATTAACTAGCTAACTGATGACTCTTACGGGTAATTAAGCTAAAGCCTTATGAGTTACCTTACCCTAAAAAGACAAACTATGTGGGGTTTTTTTTAATATTTATTATTAGGTACACGTTGCTAAAAATAAAGTATGTTTCTATGTGCATTTTTTATTTCTATACAGACTCCATTTAAATCAATCATGCCAGCTTTGACTTAAAGAGGAACTATTATGCCCTCTGTTCATCTAAAATATACAGATTCTTTTAAACAAAACTGTTACAGTAAAAAGCCAAAGGCTTCGATTTGTCCATACAATTTTATTTTTTTATTTCCTCGTGTGCTTTCTTTAAATTCTGTGTTCCGGACACTGAATGATTACAAAGTACAGACACTTCTCCTTGGCCAATGAGAACACAGCATCTTTGAGGGCGTGATCCTTAAAAAGACTGCATGTTTCAAACATTTAGCAAAGAGGGGACAGTACAACATAAACAATTAAACTGAAACTCATGTAGAAAACAGATGAATATAAAGCAAATCTACAAAAATAAAAATATAGCGCTAAACATCAGGACAACAGGCCTCATATTAAAGAAGAGAAGCATCATGTGAGTCAACAAAGTGAATGCGAGTACTTCCAAAAGGTTGAACTGTTGCAGCTTAGTTAGAACTTTTTTTTTACTGTAAACTGAAATTAAACACTTTTACCATAAAAAAGCAGCCCAGGCTCAGTAAGAGAAAAAAAACACTTAGTAATAATAATAATGCTAATAATAACAGACGGATGGGTTCCCTGCTACAGAGCTGCCTAGCACAGTAATACTGTTAGATATAGAGACACATTGTGCTATACAGGCAGATACACACATAGAGATGGGGAAAACATATTATATTATGTTCTGGAGTAAACACATTTTATAATTGTCATCATGCAACAAAGAATAGCAACTATTTATTTCAGAAACATGGCACATAATCAGACAGATACATATAAAATATAGAGATATTTCTTATATTGCATTTTTATTAATACTTCATATAAGACATAAGGCATACTGTGGAAAATCTGCCCCCAGTGGATTGTGGGTAGCAACTGATTGTCCTTTCTGTTAGTGAATGGCTTATTGCTTCTCATATATATATAAACAGAAAACTTCCCTTTTGCTATTCAGAGCTACTGGATCACACAGGGAGTGATGGTCAGGCCTTTCTGCTGCTGTAAGGTTCATTGTTGATTCTCATTGAGTTTGAGGAATGTCAAGGCAGCACTTTGTTAGAAGTGACGCTCATAAAATACATCAGTTTAACTGACGGCATTAAACTCGTTATTACATGTTCTAATACCAGAAAAAGTATTAGAAAAGCTTTTTTTGTGTTACTGCAGGTTCTCTACCTTATAATACAATCTATTAATAATGATATTTTATGAGCACCACTTCAAGTATAGTGTTACCAGGTTTGTTTGGACGAAAGCTTTATGTGATCAGGTGAAACTGACCAAGGTTTTAGATCACTGCTACGTGAAATAGACCACTGCCTGGGTGTCTGTCTCCCCAGTCCAAACTGGGAGCTTTTTTCACAGAAGACGGGCCGATGGCACAGACTAAATATCCTGGGAAAGTTGACTTTGGAGACTTTGTTTAGCCAGTCCTTCAAACTGTGTTTGGATTAGTTGGGCTCAGTTTGAGCAATAATACTGCTGAGGTTAGAGGTTCAATCACCAGGTCCACATGCGGCACACTGTCATGCACCACAGGCTTTAAACGTGTGCCCTTCATTATATATGTTCCAATGTATGTTTGCAATGTACACAGATACCTGGATGTAGTGACACCAAAAATGATGTGTGTGTGTGTGATGTCCTGCTTAACAAGGATACTTCGTGCAGTCTTGAATCAAACATACACATCAGCGCCCCCTCCTGGTGCTCCTGGGACGGATGGATAAACAGTGTCTATCACACACACACACGCACACACACACGCACACACACACACACACACGCACACGCGCACACACACACACGCGCACACACACACGCACACACACACACACCACACACACACACACACACACACACACACACAACACACACACGCGCGCACACGCATGCGCACACGCGCACACACACACACACACACACACACGCGCACGCACGCACACACGCACACACACACACACACGCACACGCACACACACTGGCTGGGAAATCCAGTGAGTAACTATTCACTAAACACAGTTGATACAAAAGCTTTGAACCACCCTGATTGTTTGAAACGCAGGTCAGTCAATAGGAATGATTGTCATCACGATCGTCTGTTCATTGCTGCCAGAACACGCCCACCATCCTGACTTTGGCACTGGGAGTCACAGAGGCTGGCACTTAGAGCACTGGAGCCGGTGTAACAAGGAGACCCAGAAGGAAACACAGGGCGGGTGTCAGAGGTGACCATGGCGTGCTCCCTGAGGAGTGGATGGAAGATGTCTTGATTTCAGAGGTGAGGAAGGCAGACAGAGGGACGTGGGACACCAGAGTGGGGCTGGCATAGTTGATGAGGGAGTCAATCTTCTCAGCCTCTTTACTGCAGGCTTCAATCTGCAAAACAAAACATTATTTATACACAACAACAGTCACCACAAGGTGCTTTATACTGTATGGAAAAGGCCCAAAAAACAACACGCTGTGAGCAAGGGCTTGGTAGCAGCAGATCCTAGGGAAAGCTGACTGCTGTGGCTGCTGGAGGAAGACCCACTATGTAAGAAAGCTGCACGTTAATAATACAATACGATTTTATTTATATAGCACATTTAAAAACCCGAAGGCACACCAAAGTGCTTCACAGTAATATGGAGAGTCAACATAAGTCAAAAACAGGGTACAAATCAGGCACAAGCACAGACAGGATAGAGGCACTAACAGACCAGGAGAGTTAGATAAATACAAAATATGCTACGAAGGCAAAAACAGCAGTAAAATTAATAAAAATAATACATTTAATAAACTCTAATAAAAGATTTAAAAGGGTATTAACTGGTCGGGAAAGCCAAGTCAAATATGCTTTTAATCTTGATTTAAAGGACTGGATAGAGTCCAAGGCTCGAATAGAAGCAGGGAGGCTGTTCCAAAGCTTGGGTGCAGCTGAAGCAAAGGCACGATAGCCTCTGGTCTTCAGTCTAAACTTAGGTTGGGCCGGGAGTAATTGACCTGATGATCTTAATGCACGACAAGGAGTGTACAAATTGAGGAGGTCAGTGAGGTAGCTGGGTGCAATGTTATTCAGGATTTTAAAAGTGAGTAGCAAGATTTTAAACTCAATGCAATATTTCATTGGTAACCAGTGTAGATCAACAAGAGCCGGAGTAATAGGGTCAAATTTTCTAGTGCCAGTAAGAAGGCGAGCCGCAGCATTCTGAACGAGTTGCAGCCTTCGAAGAGAGAAGGCTTGGAGACCACAGTAGAGAGAATTACAATAATCTAACCTGGAGGTCACAAAAGCATGGATAAGTTTCTCCAGGTCCCTGTGTGGTATATAATGCTTAGCTTTAGAAATCTGGCGCAGTTGAAAAAAAAAACAGATTTAACTACAGATGATACTTGCTTATCGAGCTTAAAGGAGCTATCCAAATAGACACCCAGGTTACGCATAGAATCAGGGAGAGAGTTAGTGTAACCCAGTTCCTAAAATCATCTCAAACAAAAAGAGAAGAAAAATTAAAACATTTAATGTTCATTGTCCTGTTCTTACTGTCCCTGTTAATGAAAGTGAAATGAGATCAAAATATTTATTTAAACATAGAAGGAACGCAGATTATATATGATATGCTCTGGTCAAACAAGGGTTAAGTTTTCTCAGAGGGTTGATGAGCTCTGATGAGAGCCTATTGTTTTACCCCACTCCTCGCATGTCAGCCAATCGGTGAAGCTCTAGGCAGCTCTTGTCCCTCCTTAGTACCAGCTCCCAAGTTTTCAGTCTCTTGCTTCTACAGCCGAACAGAGCAGACTGACTAAAACTTTTGTTATCGGTAAGCTGGAGAAATTAACCTCTAACGAGTTAAAAAAAATACGATCTAAACTGATCTTTTTCACAAACTATGTATTTGCACTTGTTGTTGTCAAGGGCAGAGCGAAACCGGAAGGTTTACTGAGCTGTGGCTCCACGTAAATGCTGAGCATCCACTCGACGGCGGTAAGCTAAATGTGGCTAATCAGACACGTGATGTGCGGAGTGTGGGTACAGTTGTTGCATGTCCCTGAAACGCTGTTGCTATGCTAGTTAGATCATTAACTAAGTCATTAACATGTGAAAAGCTGTAAATGGTTAAAGCAGCTAAAAATAACTTTATGAGAGATAATTGTAAGCAGACTTTATCCTGCTTCCTGTTTAAATTTTGATGTCAATCAGTTGTTTTACAATACTCAGTATTGAACACTTGGAGGTAATTTTTAGTGTATTTCCACTTGTACTAGTAGGCCTATGGTACAAGCGGGATTAAGAAATTGCTCACAGACAGCCTGAGAGGCCGAGCTCGAAGAGTCCGGACAGGGATTTATCACTGAATTAAAAATTTTGAATAACATTCGGGCGTTGTGGCTATTAGTCTCAATACGACGTAAGGCTCGTATAGTGTCATTTAGCCATGGTTGATGAGAAGTTCTGGGACGTTTCATCTTTATAGGGGCCACAGTATCTAAGATGGAACAACAGGTGGATAGCATAGCGTTGGCAAAATCATCAACCAATGGAAGTGTGTAACAGTTTGTATCAGTGAAGTCTGGATCAAAAAAGGCAAAGTTTAGAAAGGCCGTAATGCAGTTAGCCACAGTCTCAGAGTTAATGATACGTACAGGGCGAGGACAGCCTTTAGAATTTAAATCAATTGCACATAGCTCAACATCAAACATAACCAAAAAATGGTCAGAAATACCAGCATTATCAATGTCCATAGTACAAATATCCAAAGCATATGGGAGGACCAAATCCAAGGTATGACCTTTAAGATGAGTTGGTTCCCTGACCCACTGTGTAAGGTTAAAAGAGTCAATTAGGGCAAGAAAATCCTTGGCTAGGGGGTCATCAGCACAACAAATATGTATGTTAAAATCTCCAGTAATAAGAGCTTGGTCATAACTTAATAAAAATGAACCTAAGAAGTCAGCAAATTCACAAATAAAATACCTATTATATTTAGGTGGTCGATAAATCACAGCACATAGAATCGTTGGGGGTCCGGCAAGCTCCACAAGCTGAACCTCAAAACTAGAATAGGTAGGAGAGGGCAGTTGCCGAACTTTAAGTTTGTTTTTAAAAACAGAGGCCACGCCTCCACCTCTTCCCGAAGGCCTCGGTGAACTGAAGACTACACAGTCCGGGGGTAGTAGCTCTGAAAAAGAAGAGGACTCACCAGGATGAATCCAAGTTTCAGTCAATAACTGAGCATCAAGCCGAGAGGAGAGGAAGAGGTCATTTAAGATGAAGGTTTTATTCACCAGCGATCTTGCGTTTAATAAAGCCATCCGAGAGATCGGCATCTTATCTCTGCTGGAAGCACGTCTTAGCCGGCTTAAATGCCTGAGCCGTACACCATCACTGGGGGACCCAATCCAAACACGAACAGGCAGCGAGACTACCGGAGAAACCGGACAGGCTTGTTTACTGACCGGACAGATCCAGCGATGGTTGAGCAGCCTGAAGGATGATGGATCCTGAGCAGATGGAAGTCGTATAATCCCCGCGGTGGTGAGGGAATTAGCTGCAGCTGATGCTTTAAGGTAAGCCTTTAAGCGAACCTGAAACCCACTCCGTTTGCCCCACTTCCTATAGCGCTTCTGAGGCGGGGAGCAGAGAGGGGAACCGTATGAACCAGTAGAAGAGATGATACGTGGAAAGGTAGCATCTCCAAAATTCCAGCCTTGATCCAACCCAGCATAGGGGGGGAAACAAAGATTTAACAAAGTATCCCCGTCATAGGTGATTAATGCATAACCATCTGGGGGGCATAGTGCCAGAAAGATAACAAATAATAAACAAATATCAAGGAAAAGAGATTGACAACAGAGACGAGGACGGCCTGCTGCACACACTGGCGCCATCTTTACTCAGTCACGAAACACACATAAACACATAGTGGGTGAAAAAGGTGAGTTGGGTAGAAATACTGCATGGGGAGGCCTAATCCCACTGAACCTCAACTATCCAGGCCTAACTACATGCTTCATGACTCTCTGGCTCTCGGAGGAGGAGGGCCCATCTTTCACCCTCTCCCTCCCTTATCTTCCCTGCTGCTGCTTCTATGTCTTTGTCTAGTTTCGTCTAACTCTAACCCTCAAAGATTTCCTCAGTCTTGTTCTCTAAAACCTAAAGGATGGATTATTATGGATTTGATCAACTGGTCCCGTAACGAAATAAAGTTGGAGACCTGATGTGTTTGGTTCATCTCCAACGTTCCCCTCAGCCTTCACCCCGTCGACTGCAGCATCCACACAGATAATAATATAACATAAATAAATCCAATAAAGCCTACAGAGCGCCAAAGCTGCTCTTCTTGGGGAAACAATGTGTTTGGCACAGCAAAGCATTGAGACCTGAACTGCGCTCGTCACGACTGCCGAACAGAACACGTGATTAAAAGATCATGTGACAGCAACACACACAAATGCATGCTATTAATTCATTCAGGGAAACGTCACACAGCTAAAGTGTAGCCTTTCACTGCAAACACTGTGAACACAATGTTCACACATTCTCATCAAAGTAAAGAACACATAAGCGTGTGCAGAACAACAGATATAACAGACTATATCTGTGTGTGTGCACGATGGTGTTTGTTACCTGCAGAGGTGTTGGCTGCTGGTCCATTGGGGCGATGATGACCACCAGCAGGTGGTCAATACTCAGGTAGCCGAAAACATCGCACTGTGGCACTGAGATGTGAGGCCGCAGGATCTGAAGGACATCGTGGACCGTCACCGGCTGCTTCTTGTTCAGCTGCACGCAGCGACACACAGCATTACATTCATGTCGCTGTCCAACTTTCATACAACAGGTCAGTGACACTTTAATGAGGGCAACAAATGCTCCCAGCACAGCACCACAGTATCTGTCTTTACTGGAAAACACTGACACAAATATAATGACAGCATTGAGCTTACTACAGAAATCGATGCATTTCTAGTAGCGCTGTCAGTGTTAATCTAGTTAAAATGACGTTAACGCCATAACCACATTAACGCAGCAAATCTCCCCTTTGTGGGGCTGCACAGCGCTAACGCGTCACCGCGCTAACACGTTGACACTAATGGAGATTTGCTACGTTAATGCGGTTATGGCGTTAACGTCATTGTAACGAGATTAACGCTGACAGCAGTAGTTCATTTACATGAAAAAAAGACTTCACTCTGTCTGTCTGCCTGGATTTAAAAACCAAAGTGCTTAAAATGAAAGGTTACAGAACATGTTCAGCACCATGTTGTGTCAGTACAGAGCGTGATGCCACCAGATTGGTTGGTTGGGTCAGTACATCAGTTTATGTTAGCCAGCTACTGAGGGGGTCACGTTTGTGCCGCCCCCAGCTGCAACTATGAGTCCTATGTTGGTAACCTGTCCACTGTCACTGTGTTAAACACTAAGTGGCTCTTTGTTGTTGGGCTAGCTTCACTGAAACAGGAAAATCTACAGCTGTTAGCCGTAATGTTCAGGTTTGTGAAGCACTTTATAACACAAGAGACTGTGTGGTGACCGTTCCAGTGTAGTAACCTGTGCTTGGGAAAAGCACAGGTTACTACAGCCTCATCACACCACAACATTTACTGATTTATGATCAGGACATCCATCAGCAGCTCCACATCACTGTCTCCCTCACTCACATTTGGGCTGTGCTCTTCCTCTGACATGAAGTAATCCAGGCAGGCATGGCTTCCTCTGAGTGTCTGGGTTTGATTTTTTCTACATATCGATCTATATTTTCTGGATGTTAGGATTCCCAATCATGCTTTTATAGAGACGTTGTTTGTGGTGTGATGTGTAACCTGTTATGTTGTAAACTATTTTGATGTGCTTGGGAAAAGAAAGACAATTTTATAGAGTAACCTAGTGCTGATCACTCAGTACACCCTCAGCTTATTGACTGGTGTTTATGTACCAGCATCAGCTGATGACCTCTGTGTGACCTCTTCCACACGACTGTAGCTGACCTACAGTGTAAACACCCTGAGACGTTTGTGATGATTGACTCTGACAACCTCCCAGCAGTCTGTAAAATGAATAAACCTCTGAGAACGCACAGGATGTATGCATGTTGATGTGTTCAAAGACTTCCTGTTTCCACCAAGTCTGTGAGGAGGTGGAGTCAGGATGCCAGCCAGACCCTGCAGCACTGCTTGGATGCGACAGACTGGGATGATCCATATGGGGAAGACATCAACAGCAGCACAGACTGCATCACTGACCATACACATTTCTGTGAGGATACATCCTCCCAACTAGGACTGTATGTCTGTTTTCCCAGTAAGAAACCCTGGATCACCGTTGACCTGAAGGCCAATGAAAAGACCTTCCTGGATGAATATTACTTCTACAGTCAGCAGATGCTCGTCCTCGGGCACCCTCTGCCGGCCTGGCTCTAGGGCAAGGCCTGGTAACCCTATCTCAGGCAGGGTGAACGGTTCCCATGGTGTTCTTCTGAATCGCTCTTTGTCTGGTCTTTCATTCGCACTCACATTCGTACCTATGGGTACTTTAGATTTACCAGTTAACCTAACCCCACTAACTGCACTTCTTTGGACTGTGGAAGGAAGCCAGAGTACCCGGAGAACCCACGCCATCACAGTGAGAACATGCAGTCTCCACACAGAAAGGCTGATGGTGGAACTGAACTCAGGTGAGGCTACAGTGCTGCACACTGCACCAATCTGTCCAACTCTGAGCTCCTAAAATGAAGAGACTGCATTAGAAGAATGCTTTGGGTCCTCACAGTTTTAGGCAGTTGCACTGACTTAAAGCTGAAAGCTCTTCAACTGCACCTGAGTTGCTTCATTTCAAATTCATTGTGGTAATGTACACAACCAAAATAAAAAAACATAAACTGTCTCTGTCCAAATATTTATGGGTTTGATGGTATAATTCAGCGGTCTCCAACCTTTTTTGCGCCACGGACCGGTTTATGCCCGACAATATTTTCATGGACCGGCCTTTAAGGCGCGGGATAAATACAACAAGATAAAACTAGTACTGGTACCAAAAAAAAAAGATTTATTCATAACACACATGAAAAGCCCCAGGAAAACCGAGTTAACGATAAAAACGATAACAAAATAACTGAAAACCGATAAAACCCCTGAAAACCAGACATTTCACACCTGAGCCTCAACTCTCGCGGCCCGGTACCAAACGACTCACGGACCGGTACCAGTCCAAGGCCCGGGGGTTGGGGACCGCTGGTATAATATATACATCAAAATGTAGCCACCATCCTTCTCGTTCATCCAGGGTCAGTCTCATCAAGACAGGATTTACAGTTCTCCCATGAATGTCATAAGCACAGCCTCCTCCATCTCCCTTGCCCATAGAGGACAATGCTAGAGCGGCTCAGACAAAGTCTCACACAGCATCCCTGTGTGGGAATAACACATCACAAATTTTGTAAGTAAATCTATCTCTAAAGGCGCTATTGAATTCTCACCAGGTGTGTTTAACAACCCATCCAATCCACAAACACGGAGAAATCCAATTAAGTGGCATATTAATGAGAATTGACACAGACACAAAGTACTGAACTTGCTTATTTGATCCACATGGGGAACATTTATTGTCCTCCTGATTTTGGCCGTCAGTCTTCAGACCCTGAAGCTTTTGTGGGCCCCTTGTATGAACTCTTAGCTTTAGCACTTTCCACAGATTCAGGTCAGGTGACTGGGCCCTTCCAGCAGCTTTAGCTTCCTTCCTTTGGCTGTTTGTTTGGGATCATTGTCTTGTTGCAGCAACGACCCTCTTTTCATCTTCATCATCTTGGCAGCAGATTTTTATCAAGAATGTGTTGGTACATTTTCCCATTCATCCTTCATTCAATTACATGAAGAATGCCAGTGGTGTATAGAGAAAAAACTATGATGTTCCTTTTGGGTGTTTCTGGGGCGATATGCAGTACCCTTTCCTCAACATGTCATCAAAGAGTTCTGGTCTCATCTGACCAGACCATAGTCTCCCAGTACTTCACAGGCAAATTTCATCAAACTTTAAACGGACTTCAACATACTTTTTCTTAAACAATGGCATGTTGCATGGTGAGTGTGCATACAGGCGGCTGAGTGAATTGCTTATTGTTTTCTTTGAAACAGTTGTACCTGCTGATTCCAGGTCCTTCTGTAGCCCTCCACAAGTCGTCCTTGGCTCTTGCACAACCCTTTTGATCATTCTTGTTACTCCTCTACCTGAAATCTTAAGGGCAGCGCCTGGTTGTAGCCAGTTTATAGTGGATGCTTTGGGATTGTGGTCCCAACAGTGCCCACTGGAACCTTCAGTAGTTCTTCTCTAAACAGTGCTTTCAGTATGTTTTGAAAAATAAGGATGTGAATATCTTGAGAGAGCTCACGGTTTTATCTATTATGAAATGTTTCTGGTGTACATCTCGGTAATGAGACAGCGTTTTATAGGCCATCAGTGGGGACTGAACCAGCTTCTATTAGTTTGCAGGACTGCTTTCTATTTACTGACAGATTTCAACTGGTGTCATAACTTTCCACGCCTTTTTCCACCTCCCTTTCTTCATTTTACATGTGTCATTTCTCATTCTTACACATAACTTATGGACATGTATGTCTGATTTCTTTGAATGTGTGGATTGTACTGGTTGTTACGACACATCACCATGAAAACTGGTCAATATTGATTTTACCTGCTCTAGCTTTCATACCCTACCTATAAGTCAAACCTAACAACACTGATTAAAGAAAATAGTACTTTGAAACTCCCTTTGTCATCAGCATAAATCATTCATAAACATATCATACTGGACAGTGGATTTGTTACCTAAACAAACAAACAGCTGTGAACCGTCCATACCTTTGAGAACGTGTTCATTCGCTCTTTGCTCCAGAGGATCTGCAGGATGCTGGCACATATGGGACAACAGGCTCCTGGATAAAGTTCAGAGAACATATTATAATAAAATGCAACGTCTTTATGTGACACTATCCTACTTGTACTGACAGTTAAAAGTGTTTCAGACATTTTTAACCACTTTACCTCACATCCACAGTCAACTTAGAATCACCAGTTAACCTAAAATGCATGTCCTGGCCTGAGGGAGCTGCAGTCATCATGCAGGCACAGGGTGAACACGCGCTCTCCACATAGAAAGGCCCTGCCAGGAACCAGTCCTCACTACTGTACCACCGTACTGCCCATGACGCTACATAAATGTCATGTACACGGTGTAATTTTATCTGCTGGCTGACCCCAGTTAACCTTTTCATGTATGGTGCTACTCCACTCACCTGGTGGAGTGACAGGGTGGCAGCCTGGAGTGGACAGACTTGGACATGAAACCAAACTGCAGGCTGAGTCAGGGGCCACGTCAGAGACAGCTCCCACAGCTCTGCAGGGGGCCTCATAGTCCACAGTGACACGGTCAGAATAGGCGCCACACACCGTGTTGTAGGTTTCGCCATTATGGCCACAGACTTGTTTTGGCTTTCTGCAGCCTTCCTGAGGACAGAACACACCAGGCACTATTTACATTATGGGAAGTGTATTTGATTGTCTTCTTTTTGTACTATACATACATACAAACAAAAGCTATGTTTAAGGTACTGTTAGTCTGATAAAAAGCACTAGACAAAACTAAAATGTACCTTTGTTGTGTTTTTGAAATAATTTCAAATGGACAAAACTGTGAGTCATCTTCGATCAATCAACAAGAAGATTTTGCAAATTCAAAAAAACAACAATAACTAAACTTCTTTTAGTTATGAGTAAAAAAGAATAGAGTACAGAACAACACCAAACCAAAGAGTAAAACAGTGAAATGTCGGGGGCGTGGCTAAACATATGGCTTTTGGTGAGCTCCCGGCATAAAAGCCTTAGAATTATACTTTTACTCCACGAACAGTGAAATTTACCACCTGTAGCCATTTAGTATAATATCATGCAAAAATATGCCAGCGAAGAAGGCACTAAAATTAAAACTAACCCTTCTCCAAATGGGGAAGACGATGTATCGTATGCTAGTAGTCAAGCTAACTCAGCAGATGATGCTAGACCTGAGCCACGCGTAGGCGAAAATACTGGAACGGCACACAACATGGATGTCATTCAGATTCTCCACGAGATCAGAAATGACTTTTCCACGAAAATTGATGTGGTGCTGGAAGCCATACAGGACGTTAACAGGCACGTGCAGGCAGGACTTCTTGGCACGCATGGATGAAGCAGAAGTGCGAATTAGCAACGTAGAAGACACAGTTAACTCAGAGAAAAACAAGTCTGATGCACTTGTTAAACAGGTAGCTCTCCTCACAAATAAACTTTTGTCCCAAGAAGTAATCGGTTCTTCACTTGTGTTATAAGCTGCAGAAGAGACTCCAATGAACATTTCAGATATACATTTTCGTGAAAATATTTACTATCGCTGGGAGACATGAAGAACTTGTTAGTTGTATTTTGTTCTTTTAAGATTGCTTGGTTTGGTCTAACTGCTCCCTTATTTACACTGGATCGGTGAGTGCACAGGAGGGAGGGCTGTCTGGTTCGGGGTGATAGCTAAGGAGATTTGTTTATGGCAGATTTTCAGCTTTGTGTTTGTTTTTTCAATACTCCTCAAAACATGAGGTGCTTCCAAATAAGAAGTTTAAATTTACTTCTTGGAATGTAAGGGGGATGGTAAAAGTGACTAAGCTAAAGCAGGTTATTACCAGGCTTTAGCATCTGAAGTCCTCAATCGTTTTTATCCAGGAGACCCATCGACTCAGAAACAACTTGGTGAAAGTACAAAGGAGATGGCCATGCAAAGTACTAGCGTCCTGTTTCCCATCTCATTCTAGAGGGGTTATAGTGTTAATTCACAACTCAGTGCCTTTTCAGGTAAATAACACTATTTATGACAGTGCGGGTAGATTTTTGGTGGTCCAGGGTACCTTCTTGAAAGGAAATATAAATTTGTTTAATGTCTACGGCCCCAATGATGACAACCCATTGTTCTTTGAGAATGTGTTTTTGTTAATGGCCACCCTTCCTGGTAAGATCATATTGGCAGGTGACTTAACCCTTTAAGACCTACCATAGAACCAAGTCCGCCAGAGCTTATATTATATTTTTACATGTTGTGGAGCCATTTTTGGGAGCATTTCAAGTTGCTATACATCAATACAACCATTATAGCCCAAACTTTAATAATATGTCTGCATTAGGTGCATAGTAATTACATAAATTGCAAAGAAGTGCAATAAACTACAAAAAAATTGAAAATCGTTTTTGTTTTTTTAACATATATTTCTAGTTAGAGAAATTTAAGAGGCTTATCCCTCAAAACTGTAAATACAAAAAAGTTGCACAAACTAGTTTCCCACCACAGGAAATTTATTTAAGTGTCTTCATAGTTTTATTTTGAAATACACCAATTTTATATACTGCAGGAAAAACGAAAATAAATATTATAGTGCAAATTTGCAAAATAACAGCATATGCATCACAATAAACTATTTCCAGCAGTGCAATACGAGTCCTAAGCATCCCAGAAACGACACAGAAAGTCATGAAGTCAAACATAACTTTTAAAAACACAAGTATAAGCTCATGAGGTACGATGGTAAAAAAAAAAACTACATTTCCGCAAAATGACGTCACTTCCGGTTTCGGGCAGGTCATGCGGTCATGTGATAGTTCACGCTGATGGACGTAGGAAGTGTTACAAACAGCTGATTGGATCGGCGAAGCGTGTTTCTGGAATATCATGTTTTTGTTGCTGCAAGTGATTTTTATGCAGTTTTTGCAAAGCTATATGTGGAAGGAAACTGTGACCGAGGACAAGCTGATGGCATAAGATGTAAGTACAACTCCTCCAGTTTCATATGCAAAAAAAATTATTGCGCTAGCTTACGTGGTTGCAGAGCTACCGGGATTTAAAAATAGTTACGCAAAACAGAGCGTGCCCGCTCCGATCGGCTGTAAAGGGTTAAATTGTACCTTGGGCCCAAAGACTGATCGCTCGTCAGGGACAGATACCTCACATTCTCAAACAAGAAAGAAACTACTTCGATACATAGAAGATTTGAATCTCTCAAAGTCCTACCAGAACGGAATGCTCATGCTACTCTTCAACATTTAAAACCCACTCTCAAATAGATTATTATCTCCTCATCGTTGTTACCTAGTGTAACTGACAGTATTCACGGTAGTATTGTTCTGTCAGATCATGCCCCAGTCTCGCTATTTTATAATGTTGTACAAGTGAACAAACACTATTTTAACTGGCGCTTACACCCTAAAATTTGGTTGCCCTGTTTACGGTTTACAAACACCCCAGCGCTCTGAGACTGACCTGCTCAGTTGGGGTGATAGAATACTACCAGGTCTTTAAGATGAGATTCACAGGGAGCCAGTGAAGAGAAGCCAAAATGGGAGAAATGTGCTCCCTCTTTCTAGTCCCTGTCCACTTTTGTTGCAGCCGACTGAAGGTTTTTCAAGGCAAGGCAAGGCAAGGCAAGTTTATTTGTATAGCACAATTCAACAACAAGGTGATTCAAAGTGCTTTACAGAGACATTAGAAACAAGAACAAATAAAAAGCATGATTTAAAATTGAATAAAACAAGCAAATAAACTAACTAACTAATTAACAAACAAACAAACAACAGTATATAAAATCAAAACAGATAAAATCAGAACAGTAGATAAAATCAGTAGTTAAATGTAAGTTTTGAAATTTAAGCTTAAAGTGTGGATTTGGTGCTTTATTCAAATGCAGCTGAGAACAGGTGAGTCTTCAACCTGGATTTAAATAAACTGAGTGTTTCAGCTGATCTGAGGCTTTCTGGGAGTTTGTTCCAGATATAAGGAGCATAAAAGCTGAATGCAGCTTCTCCGTGTCTGGTTCTGACTCTGGGAACTGATAAAAGACCGGATCCAGATGACCTGAGGGATCTGGAAGGTTCATACTGGGTCAGGAGGTCACTGATGTATTTTGGTCCTAAACCATTCAGAGCTTTATAGGCCAGCATCAGAACTTTAAAGTCTATCCTCTGACGGACAGGCAGCCAGTGTAAGGACCTCAGAGCTGGACTGATGTGGTCCACTTTTTTGGTCTTAGTGAGGACTCGAGCAGCAGAGTTCTGAATGAGCTGTAGTTGTCTGACTGATGTTTTAGGTAGACCTGTAAAGATGCTGTTACAGTAATCAAGCCTACTAAAGATGAATGCATGGACTAGTTTTTCCAGGTCCTGTTGAGACATCAGATCTTTTATCCTTGATATATTCTTGAGGTGATAGTAAGCTGACTTTGTTATTGTCTTAATGTGTTTTTCTAAGTTTAGGTCTGCATCCATCACTACACCCAAATTTCTCGCCTGGTTTGTGGTTTTTAGATGTATAGATTGAAGTTCTCTGGTGACCTGTAATCGTTTTCTTTGGCGCCAAAGACTATTACCTCAGTTTTGTTTTTGTTTAGCTGGAGAAAATTGTGGCACAACCAGTCATTGATTTCCTCAATGCATTTACCAAGAGCATGTAGATGTTAAACAGAAGGGGTCCCAAGATGGAACCTTGGGGAACTCCACATGTGATACTTGTCTGCTCAGATGTGAAGTTACCTATTGATACAAAGTATTTCCTGTTTTCTACGTATGTTTTGAACCAGTTTAGTACAGTTCCTGAAAGACCTGTCCAGTTCTCCAGTCGTTTGAGTAATATGTTGTGGTCAACTGTATCAAATGCTGCACTGAGATCCAGTAAAACTAGGACTGACATTTTTCCACTGTCTGTATTCAGACATATGTCATTAAACACTTTGGTCAGAGCGGTTTCA